AACCCTCTCCAGGATGAATCTGTTTGTTTTCTTAGCCATCAATGGTACACTTAATACTCTTCTCCAGCACCACAGCTCAAAGGCATCAATTCTCCATCTATCTTCCCTAGTCATTGTCCAACTCTCTGATGCCTAACAAGTGATTGCAAAGACCATGGCCTGTATCAGGCGCGCCTTAGTCTCCAGAGACACCGTTGCTCTTGAGTACTTTAGAGAGGTCCCTAACAGCAGACTTACAGCCTTTAAAAACCCACTGTGGGGGGCATCAGCTATGAGTTGGTTCCACCTTGAAGATACATAACAATGTTGCATTGGGCAACTTGCTGTCTAAGACTTTTTTTAAAATGCTAAATGAATCAGAATGATGGCATGAAACAATGTGAATGAAGGATAGTATAAAACACAATGTACATAAACTGTAAGCAAACAAATATAAAAGACTTTTTTAAAAAAAATTAATTTCACACAATGGAATACTATGCAGCACTCAAGAGCAATGATTTAAAAAAATGCTAAAGAGCAAAAACATCAGCTTATTGTATAAGATGTACCTGCTCAAGTCATAGTATTTTCCTATTCATGTGAAAGCTGCTTACTGACTAAGGGAGACTTAAGAAGAATTCAGAAGAAAGAGAATTGATGCCTTTAAATTGTGGTATTGGTAATACAATTGTGTTTCCCATGTATTGTCAAAAGAACGAACAAGTCAGTCTTGAAAGAAGTGAAGGCAAAGCAAAGATGGTGAGACTCTGTGTCATATACTCAGGCCATGTTATCAGGAGGGGCCAAATCCTGACAAGAACACCATGCTTGGAAAACCAAAGAGTCAGAGAAAGAGAGAAAAGCCTTCAATGAGATGGACTGACATAATGACTGCAGATGGTAAAGATGGGACAGGATCAGGCTTAATTTCATTCTTTGGGTCACTGTGAATCTGAGCTGGCCTAAAAATTACAGCGACATTTGCATACAATTAAGTTTATATTCTCTGAATCTCTGATTATATCTATATTCTAATACCAATTTTGCTTCTATATATTTGCCTCCTTTTAAAACAACGAATTAGCTAGTGTTTTGTCTATTCTGCAGTTTGTTTCTTTCAGAAGCCAGTTTCTGCATTTCCTTATCCACTATTCTACTATTTATTCTATTTCTGATTATTAGATTTTGTTTTTATTATTCATTTGTTCCTTCTATATTCATAACAGTGGCCTAGTGTTAAGGAGTTGTGCTTCCAATCCAATGGCATGCGCTTTGAATTTCCCAGCTGCTCTGAGGAAAGATGGGCAGTCTCCTCCCACGTGATTTACTCTCTCTGACTTGACAGTGCACAACAATAACAACATTTTTCATAGGACTTCTATCCTGTTTTCCAAATTCTTGAGTTGAATGTTCTTTTCATACCTTCGTGTTTGTTTGTTGTTGTTGTTATGTGCTGTCAAGTCACCTGCAACTCATAGCAACCCTATGTACAACAGCCCTAAACCCTGCTCTATCCCTTGCCAGTCGTATTGTCTCCAACACGCCTATCTCCATTACCCCAATGACCGTGTCAATCTATCTCATTTGGGGTCTTCCTCTCCTGCACTGTCCCTCCACCCTCCCAAGCATGATGTCCCTCTCCAAGGACAGGTCCCTCCTTGCAGCATGCCCAAAGTATGTCAGACAGAGCTTCAGAATCCTTGCCTCCAAGGAGCAGACTGGCTTCACCCTCTGCAGGATGAACTTGTTTGTTCTCCTAGCAGTCCATGTTGTGTATATTCAATACTCTTCTCCAACACCACAGCTCAAAGGCATCAATTCTCCTTCAATCATCCCTAGTCATTTTCCAACTCTCTGATGCATAGCAAGTAATTGCAAAGACCATGGCCTGGATCAGATACACCTTAGTCTCCAGACCGACATCGTTGCTCTTCTGTACTCTGAAAAGGTCTCTGACAGCAGACTTTCCCAATGCAATTCGTCTTTTTATTTCCTGGCTGCTGGTACCAAGAGTGTTGATTGTAGAGTCAAGCAAACTGAAGCTGTCAACAGTCTCAATCTCTTCACCATCTATCAATCGGCCCAGTGGTGAGAATCTTTGTTTTCTTGATGTTGAGCTTCAATCCATCTTGAAGGCTGCAGTCCTTGACCTTCTACAGCAAACGCTTCAGGTCCTCCTCAGTTTCACCAAGCAAGGTTGTGTCATCTGCATAATGCAGATTGTTAATGAGTCTACCTCCACTCCTGATGCCACACTTCTCCTCATAGTGCCCACCGTCCTGGATAATCTGCATATAGATTGAAAAGATATGGAGATGATAGGACACATCCTTGACGCACACCCTTCCCGATTTTGAACCATGCAGTGTTTCCTTGCTCTGTTCTGAGGACTGCTTCCTGGTCCAAGTATAGGTTTTGCATAACCACAATCAAGTGTAAATAATTAAAGCTATAATGATCTTGAGTACTGTTTTAATAATAATCCATAGACCCTAATGTGGTGTTTCCATTTTATTTTGTTTATCTCAAAATCTGGCTACAGATAGAGCATTCTGGATGTTACCTGAAACTGGATAAATACAAAGCACAGGAGGTTTTAATCTAAATTAAGACTTGTCTTATCTAAGTAAGGGGAACTCTGGTGGCATAGTCCACAGGAAGTTGTACCGCTAACACAAAGGCCTTATCTGTCTAGTGGTTCAAATCTACCAGTAGCTCAGCAGGAGAAAGATAGGCAATGTCCTCCCATGTGATTTATAGTGGGAGTGGGGGAACCTACTGGAGGGCCAACTACAATTAGTTCAGACTTGACAACAGTGTGCTTTCCTTGTCTATCACATAGAATGTACAGGATTAGTAAGAAATCATAGAACTGAGAGCACTATTTAAAGAGGATATGTGTAAAACATTTCCAGAATTGAAAGATAAACATTTACAGACTCAGAAAGCCAAATAACACTTAACAGGACTAAAAAAAATTGCTTATATATTTATGGATGGACAGAAAAAGATATCTGTCCACTTAATTGTCACATAGGTAGTTGGAAAGAAGATCAAACATCACAGACGATGTCACAAGGAGAGTGACTGTATTTGGAACTTTAGGGAAGAGTGCTGTACTCTGAAGACTGTGAGTCCTCACTCAGCTTCTTCAGATCTCTTGATGGTAAGTCAATTTTCACATACGTGGCTTCCCATCTATTTAAGCCCTATTAAAGAGATTAATGTATCAGTAATAAATGCTTTAAGTAGTGAAATTCCCAACATATACTGGCGCAAGTTGTTGTTGTTGTTAGGTGCTGTCAAATCAAGTATGATCCATAGCAACCTTATGAACAACAGATCTGAGTCCTGTCCTATCCTGTGCTATCCTCACACTTCCTGACATTGCTGCAGTCTCTGTGTCCGTCAATCTCAATGAAGGTCTCCTCTCTTTCACTGACCCTCCACTTTTCCAAGCTTCATGTCCCTCTCCAAGGAAAAGCCTCTCCTAGCAACTTGCCCAAAGTACGCATTCATGATCTTTTCCTCCAAGGAGCACTCCAGCTGCACTTTCTCCAATACATACCTGTTTGATCCTTTGGTAGTCCATGGGATATTCAGTGCTCTTCTCCAACACCACAACTCAAAGGTATCAATTCTCTTTCTGTCATCCTTAGTCATTGTCCAGCTCTCAGGTGCAATTACTGAAGTTGGGGTTCTTTTTCTCATACCAAGCAGTCCAGAGATGAGCAGAAAGTGAGTTTTGGATTGGAGACTTGAAATTGTCAAAACCAGAATATACACCATTTTCTTGAACTTTTCCTCACATAGTGAGTCCTAGTGGTCCAGTGGTTAGGTGCTAAGAACAGACCAAAATGTTAGTTCAAACCTACCAGGTTTGAAACCCATTAGGAGAAAGATGTGGCAATCTGTTTCCACAAAAATTGGAGCTTTGGAAACTATGTCACAGTTTCACCATAAGTCAAAATCAACTTGACGGAAATCGGTTTTTCCTTCATGTATATTGCCTCATGATCATAAGAGGCCACCAGAGCTTCAGGGAGTACACTTTAAAAAACAATGTACCCTAGTGGCTAGAAGCTGTGCTGCAATTCTGAAGGGACACGGTTTGAATCCACCAGATGCTCCACTGGAGAAGGAGGGACAATCTCCTCCTGTGCCAGTTGGATCCGATTTAGTGGTATGTAACAACAACACACACACACAGAACCCCCCAAAAAAACCACCACAACAAAAACAATGTACAAGGCAGCTTGGAGAGAAATTAGTTATCATATTCTTTTCTATCATTTCATTTCTTAAACTGGATAAATTATGTTTACTGCATTGAAGCTGATGAGGGAGAGAATAGTTTAAAAGTAATATATTTTAGGGTATTATGATTATCATGAAGAGTCTGGAATGAGGGTTGCAGAGTGGCGTATACTCGGGGTGGAGTTGGGGGGTGTGCGGGGGGGATTGTGTACCAATGAAGGCAGGAAAACTTCCCAGAAGTTATGAATCATATTTCTGTTTCATTGTCTAGACCTTTGTCATATAGCCATGCCTAGCAACAAGGGTGCCTTGGAAAGGGAGGATTCTGTTTTTCCTGTTTGTCTGCCTAAGGCAAATGGAATGAGAATCACTGTTGGGCTAGGCAATGGAATTATCTACTAAAATTCACCATTAATTCGTGTAAAAATGTTCATTGAGCACCTGCTAGGTACTGCTTGGTGAGCAAAGGATCAAAATCTCTTCTATTGTGAAGTTTATGTTCTTTTCTGGAAAAATGAATACAGTAAAAGCAAGTCAAATTTATACCTGTTTTACTAGAAGGGGGAAATCTTCATCAAGGCGGTGAGATTGAAATACTTGAAGCAAGAAAGGAAATGAGTCATGTGACTATCAGAGGGAAAGACTCCTTAAGGAGGGAAGGGTAAGTGAAAGTCCGCAAGGCAGTACTGTGCCTGGCTTATTCAAGGGGTAGTAAGATTCGCTAAGAGTAGTACTTAGGAACCTTGCCAACCATGATAAAGTCTTTGTTCTCTGAACGAGATGCGGTGCTACTGCTCAGTTTGAATTGAACAGAGATGATTGGGGTGGGGAGCAGTTAGCAGTGAGAAGCACAACTGATAGCAATCCTGTGAACAACAGATGTGATCCTGACCATCGTCACTATCTCTGTAGTCATGGGTCAACCAGTCCATCTGGTTCAGGGTCTCTTTCTCTGAACCCCTACCTTTCCCAATATGATGTCTTCTTCCAAGGACTGGTCTCTTCATAACAATATGCCTAATTAATGTGAAATGAAGTTTCACCATCCTCGACTCCAAGGACTACCCTGGTTGTACTTTCTCCAAAATGTATTTGTTTTCTTGGCAGTTCATGGAATTTTGAGTCCTCTTCTCCAACACCACAAAACAAAAGCATCAGTTCTTCTTCTGTCATCCTTTGTCATTGTAATTGCAAAACCATGGCCTGAAACAGGAATACCTTAGTCTTGAAACTGGAATTATTGGTCTTCAGTAATTTGGAGAGGTCCCTAACTAATATTGTACTTGCCCAAAGCAATATGTCTCCTCATCTCCTGACTGCTGGTACCTAGAGTGTTGATTGTGGATCCAAGTATCATGAAGTCATTGAAAATTTCAATGTATTCTTCATCTATCATGATGTCTCTGAGTCCAATGGTGAAAAGTTTTTCTTTCTTGATGTTGAAATCTAATAATCCATAGTCTTTGACCTTCTGCAGCAAGCACTTAAGTCCTCATTTTCAGCAAGGAAGGTTGTGTCATCTGCCTAATGCAGGTTGTTAATGAGTGTTCCTCCCATCCTGATGCCACATTCTTCTTCATAGAGTCCAGCTTCTCTAATGATTTGCTTAGCATACATATTGACTCGGTATGAAGAAAGGGCACTGCTCTGATTAATGCACTCCTTTCTTGATTTTAAACCATGTAGTGTTCCTTGCTCTGTTTGCACAACAGTCTAGAATAATGCATAGACAGAGAATGGCCAAAAATTCAAGTTGGGTTTAGAAGAGGCTGTGAGAACAGCAAGCAACAAATGCTGGCGAGGTTGTGGAGAAACTGGAACCCTTATGCACTGTTGGTGGGAGTGTAAAATGGTGCAACCACTGTGGAAAGCGGTGTGCTGCTTTCTCAAAAAGATGCAAATAGAGATACTGTTTGACCCAGCAATTCCACTACTGGGAATATACCCCAAAAAGATCATAACAACTGCCACCCAAGCAGATATATGCACACCCATGTTTATCGCGACTTTGTTCACAATAGCAAGGAGTTGGAAACAACCTAAGTGCCCATCAACAAACGAATGGATAGAGAAGCTGTGGTATATTCACACAATGGAATACTACGCTGCATTGAAAAAACAAGGAACTCATGCAATATTATTCAAAATGGGTGACCATGAAGGACATTATGCTGAGTGAAGTATCTCAGTTACAAAAGGACAAATACTGCATGGTGCCACTGTTGTAGAATGAGGCTGGCATCAGGGTGCAGGTAAGACTGAGAAAAACTGGATAAATTATGTTTACTGCATTGAAGCTGATGAGGGAGAGAATAGTTTAAAAGTAATATATTTTAGGGTATTATAATTATCATGAAGAGTCTGGAATGAGGGTTGCAGAGTGGAGTATACTCAGGGTGGAGTTGGAGGGTGTACCAATGAAGGAGTTTTTCTTTTGCTTTTCAAGGAGAAGAGCGAACTGGGGGTGTGGGGGGTGGGAGGGGAGAAAAGTGCAAAAATGAATGAATGGAAATCCAAAATCTCTGTAGATGTTCATTGAAATTAATTTCTTTAAAAAGGGGGGGAAAAGACATTAGTAATCAAAGCAAACAATAAAGTTAATCTGACTAAAAAAAAAAAAGACAGGGTTTAGATATGCTGTTCCTATGAGCGCTATGAGTCATACTCGATTTGATGGCTCCTAACAACTACGACAGAGAAGATGGGAACTCAAAGTCCTGGGTTATCCGTGCCATTTATGTTTAAACTTTTTAGCCAGGAAATAGAATCAAGAATATTTTTTAAAGGGAAAAAGAAAAAAAAGAAGAGGCTGTGACATCAGGGATGTCATTGTTGATGTCCGATGAATCCTGGCTAAAAACAGAGAATACCAGAAGAATGTCTACTTGTGCTCTATTGACTATGCAAAGGCATTGGACTGTGCGGATCATAGTAAACTATGGCTAATATTGAGAAATGGGAATCCCAGAACATTCAATTATGCTCATGTGAAAGCTAGACCTACACCAAGAGAACACATTTGTAGATAAAGGAGAGAGAATTTTTTCTGATGAGTAAAATGTGGGCATGAAAGAGGAAAGGCAAAGATAAAAGTCTAGGACTGGTCTAAATATTGAAAGATTTCCCACTATCTAAGTTGAGGAGGACTGAAGGTAAAGTAAGTTAAGGAGGGAATGGCAGCTGTCTGACCTGACAGAGAATAGGAAGCCTGATTTTCCTTCTGCTTTATTAATTTGTTTTTTGGAGAGGGATGATACATTTTACTTTGAAAACTGACCATAATCAGGACCCAGCAGTGTCATTCTTTCTGTCAGTTATCACTGTGTTCATTCAGGTGAAATGCTTTTTTTTTTATCATTAAGAACTAAACCACCATTTCCTAACGTTTCAGAAAGATCTCCCCTGAAGAGTGGCAAACCAAAGACAAAGAAAACCCTTTTGGGCCAGCTGAGCAGACCTCAGGACAGTCTATGGAGCTCCCAAAAGTACTGAGTTGCCGATTCTGTCTATATTGTCTGGGTTGCCTCTTTTTAGAGGCTATAATTTCTTCTTCATGTTTATGTGATTTTGAAACACAAGACAAAACAGAATCTAAACCACGCACAAGAGGTGTGTTTGCTCTTCCATAGTTAGTCCCACACAGCTTCTTTCCTTTATTCCCTTTTCCCAAATAAAAGACTCCATCCAGCCCAAACCTGATGAGTAGCTTGACCCCAAAGCTCCTCCTCCCAACTCCCAGTTCTATTCCTGGTGCTGTCACCTTTTTCCTCCCAGGGAAAGTACTACCCTCAGTCTTCTGCAAAAACTCTGAAGACATAATGGGGACTTGCCTATTATCAATTCATATTCTTTCACAAAGAACCTTCACTGGAATCTCAAAACAGCCCTTAAGATATTTAGGACCATGTGACTGATATCAGGGTTGGGGTAAGACTGAGAAAAACTGGACAAATTGTGTACACTGCATTGAAACAGATGAGGGAAAGAATAATTTAAAAGTGATGTATGATAGGGTAGTATGGTTATCACAAAGGTCCACAATTAAGATTGCATAGTGGAGTGTACTTGGGGCAGTGGGAGGGGTGCAGGGGGATTGTATATCAAAGAAAGAATTTTTCTTTTACTTTTCAAAGAGAGGCGCGAAATGGGGGGGCAGGGGGTAGGGCTGGGCAGGGAGAAAAGTGCAACAATGAATGAATGGAAATCCAAAATCTCTGTAAGTGTTCATTAAAATTATTAAATTTTTAAAAAATGGGGGGGAAGATATTTAGGACCGAGACTCTCTGCTCTTTGACTCCAGAGGGGCAAAAGTGATGGCCATCTGAGGTTACTCCTTAAACACCTTTGAGACAGCACAGTGAAGCAGCCAAGACCCCAGAGATATCTGTTACTCACCTCTCCTCCATGAACATCTATGGGGGTTTTTCCTGCAGAAAACAAGTCCTGGCTAGGCAACTTAAAGGATTATTTCTGGGATCTTGTCAAGAACACCATCCCTCCAGCAGCCATTTTTGCTTTTCTCATCACCGCAGCGCTAATGGGTACCCTCTGCTGCCTCACGTAAGTGACAATGGGATTTGGAGAGAGAGAGGGCCAGTAACAATCAAGTTTCCCACTGGCCCACACACCTGAAGTAAAGCAGGCCAAGGGTTAAGGAAAAGGGTTCTAGGGGCAAAACTGAAAAGCCATGCTACTCCCTCTTTAAAATCTTTTCTTTTTATTTCATTTTCCTTGACCCTTACCAATAACTGGCAGATACCATTTAATAACATGTGTCTCCAACTCATTATGTTATTACCTTCATTAGCTCCTCATTTCCTACCCTTTGACTCAGCAACTATGTTAAGAAAACATACCAAGTTATTTTTCTTCATAAATAATACCAATCCAATATAAATCATGTGATAAAAACAATAACAAAAAATTAAAAAAATAAAAAAACAATAACATAGCTTTTGTTCAAAGACATTTCAGAGGAAAATTAGTCAAAAATAGCTAGAAAAGCCCAGATTTAATTATTTGTCAGTTTTTACCAAGAGATAATTAGTTGTCTGACCCAAAAGATAGAGAAATAAGACAAATAATTACAAACTGGCAAAATAGAGACATAGAGTCCTAGTGAGAAAACATACGAAATATGCTTATGTGTCCTATTTTATCTGTGATCAATGAAGGTATTAAATTAGGTGAGAGACTAAATAGTTGGCCAGTTTTCAAGAAGAAATGAAATATAAAGAAGTGTGGGGGTCCTACTGGCTTCAAAAATCCAAACCACTCCTAAACATCCCATATATGTAGTGGTATTTTTAAAAGATTTTGCCTGGTAAAGGGCTTTTCACACTTCACAGTCTAATAAGTGGCAAGTTCAGTTTAATGGTGTGGTATGTCCATCTGTAGTTTCAATAGTTTAAAAATGAATCAGAATTAAGAACTGTGTCTAGGATACTGCCTTGCTTATGGATGTTGGCACACAAAAGTGATTGTAGGTAAACAGATTTGAAGTAGGCTAAGCTTCTGACAGAAGCACACTGCCAAAGAAACAGCCAGAGCTCAACGGGCTACCAGTTGTTTGAGGCTTAAAACAATACTTGTACCTTTGACCATTGTGAGAAAGACCATACAGCCCCTAGGAGGGCATGCTCCACAATGATTGCTTCAGATGCAGCCATAGGGAATAATGGACGGGAAGCACCTCCCACAAGGGAACAATGGACCTCCCAGAAAACAGGATCTGGCCCTAATCAGTGTTTTCCCAGCAGGATTTCATAATTACTATACAGCCACTCAACTGTATGTCTCAAATTCTTCCTCTTTCCCAATGGGCATGCTTATGGTGATTCTCTCTGTCCTTATACCTGGCCTATAGAGCAGGGGTCAGATGCTTTTGTTTCCATTCATAGGCCATTTAATCAAGATCCACACCCAAATCAAGCCCTGTGAGGCGGAGATTGTAAAAATGCTACAGGATCAGACAAGGTTTTGGTCTGTTGTTCATAAGATTGTTATGGGTCAGAATTGTCTCCAAAGCTGTGAGGATACTTGTGATATCTCCATTATAGCAGCTCTAGAGAACTAAGAGAATTACCAAACGTAGGGGGGAAATTTAAAATTAGCTCTCTTCCTTTTCCAGCTTTCTCCTTGGTGAACCAATCCAGTGAAGAACTCAAAAGCCGATGGAACAAGCATCATGTTTGGCTTGGTTAATTTCAAGAGACTAGAAAGTGAATTATTTCCTTAAGAAAAGAAAATAGCTACCAATTAAAGATGATTGGTGTTCCATCTTAATATTGTCTTTGTTTTTATTTTCTACTTCAAAAAGATAGTTGAAAAATAAGAACTATAAAAAGAATATATATTTATTGCAAGCTTTTCACAGAAATATCGAAAGAAGATAAAAGAAATTTAAACAGGTGTCTTTAGTCTAAGCCAATCAAGAAATTTAAGCAGGTATATGTTAATCTGCATAAGAAAATATGGTATACAGCATTTCCTAAATTAATTTGAACATGAACATTTTCTTTCAAATGAAGTATATTTCACTCTATTAGAAATGCTGATGCATGTATACTCAGAAAATATTCACATGTATACTTTGTCTTTTATTAACATAGTGTATTATATGTGCTATTTTGTATCTGATCTCTTTTTTCTTCATTAAACAGTATATGTTGTTGTTGTTGGTGGTGGTGGTGGTATGTGCTGTTGAGTCTCCTGTGACTCATAGCGACCCTATGTACAAGAGTCCTAAACCTCAATACAACAACTTCCAACCAAGAAAAGCCCTGGACCAGATGGTTTTACAAGTGAATTTTACAAAACATTTAAAGAAGAACTGT